GAGTTGACCCCTGAGTTGACCCTGAGTTGACCCTGAGTTGACCCCTGAGTTGACCCTGAGTTGACCCTTGAGTTGACCCCTGAGTTGACCCAGAGTTGACCCCTGAGTTGACCCTGAGTTGACCCCTGAGTTGACCCTGAGTTGACCCCTGAGTTGACCCCTAAGTTGACCCTGAGTTGACCCAGAGTTGACCCCTGAGTTGACCCCTGAGTTGACCCCTGAGTTGACCCTGAGTTGACCCCTGAGTTGACCCCTGAGTTGACCCCTGACCCTCCTGTTCCTCCTCAGGACTCCTCGGTGTGTCTCATCACGGAGGAACCGTTCTACGCTCTGTTCTCCTCGCTCGGGTCCTTCTACTTCCCGCTCTTCATCATCCTCTTCATGTACTTCCGGGTCTACGTGGTGGCCAAGCGCACCACCAGGAACCTGGAGGCCGGCGTGATGCAGGAGCGCCAGGCGGGGTCTCAGGAACTCACGCTGAGGATCCACTGCAGGAACCAGAACCAGAGCCAGAGCCAGAACCAGAGCCAGAACCAGGTGCCTTAAACACTCACACCATCAGCAAATAACAACATCGAAACACATCAAAGCACAGACACAGAAATGGTGTTTAAATATTATATTGTTTTCCAACAGCATAAGAGACGGATTACCCTTCATCAAATGGGCCGAGCACATGCTTACAGTTTACTATATTTGACTACATTTTCTATTATATATAAATATCTTTTATGTTTTTATAGTTTTCTTAAAATAGTTTTATATCTGTGTTTTTTATTTTTGTTTTACTTTTTGTCTGCACCATGACACCAAGTCAAGTTCCTCGTAGGAGTCAACCTACCTGGTGATAAACCTGGTTCTGGTTCTACAGGAGAATATTACAGTATTTACACACCTTTAGAACTCCACCATTGGATCTTACACAATCAGATGTAAACACAACCATGTGCCTTCTGACATGTGACCACACATGACACTGCAGAAAACTCAGTCTTCATGGAGAGACTTTGTGTACCAGATGGCCCCTTGCCAGAAAACTAAGAGATGAACTCATGACTTCCAGAACTTTATTTTATGTCCATGATTCCCAGGATCCGGGTCGCAGCGCTCTGAGCCTCAAACTGATGAAGTTCTCCAGAGAGAAGAAGGCGGCGAAGACTCTGGGCGTGGTGGTGGGGATGTTCGTCCTCTGCTGGCTGCCCTTCTTCCTCGCCCTGCCCCTCGGTACCATCACTCTTATATTCATAATCATGCATGAATGATTCCTGGATGTTATCCTCTGCAGACCATTAACATGCACTAACACCTATAGCAGTGGTTCTCATCTGGTGGGACCCACGTTTGGGTCGCGGACCCCTTTTGAGTTGGTCGCGGTGCGAGTGAAAACTAAAATGTGCTAAAAAAAAAAAGAGTCCAACTTTTATTTTGAAGGCCGGAGTTTCTAAACCACTTGTCTGGAAATCCCGGAGACTAGAAATAGTTTTGAAAACTTCTGTCACGTAGTGATCATCTTCTTAATAAAACATCTTTGTCGAGTCTTCTGGCCAATCAGAATCAAGATAACGTCATGGTGTTGTTGCCGGAAGTCCCCACGGAGAATAGCTTTGCTGTATTAAACTATTCTTTATACATCCATCGGTACAGCTTCAGATAAAAATGAACACATGATGAAATATGACCCCCGGTTTGATGACTGACAGGTCACAGAACAATGGGGGCTATCTCCCCTTACCCACAATTTAAAGTAATTCACACTCTCTCTCTCCTCTTTGCTCTTCTCTCTGTGAGGAGCAGCAAGTTCAGCTGTCAGAACAAAGTAAAAAACTAAAATATTGCATTCATTTTTTTACATATGTCGGGTAATAATAGATGTATTTATTTTAATCTCAAGAGTGTACTAGAATGCGTAGTTTATATGTTAGTATTTTAAAAAATCTCTCCCCCGGACCCCCTGCTGGGGTGCCGTTTTCAGCATGTCACCCTTTCACGCCTGGTGAATTTGCAGGATTGGCTCCAGGTCGCCCTTTTTATTGAATACAGTTCCCTTTTGATTCCAGAACCTTGACGCCCATCACCAGTCCACACTTGTTTAAAAAGCAAACTGTAGTTCTGTGAGGGATATCATCTGCATGGCACTGACATGTGGAGGATGTGGTTTTGTTCCATGGACTACATTTACTGAAATGTATGCTCTGTTCTTCACTTCACTTCAAAGTGTCTGCTGAGAAGCATTTATATATATTACTGCACTATTTTAGGTGAAATAAATTGGAGTGTTTCAGACCTTTGGTCTTTATTTATTGACGAAGAGAAAAAGTCCTGAGGCGTGACCAGTTGAGAACCAATGACCTATAGACGCACTGCAGGAGAAGAATAGGGCCTCTTTGTCTTCTTCTCATCTGCTGTAGTCAAACCCTCAGATTCCTCTCAAAGCCGCTGCTTCCTAAAAAGGCTGCTGTTAGTGTTTCTGTCTAAACTCTCTAAACACGCAGTAAGACTCCGACTCCCAGAATGCCTCTGGTTTCATATCAGCCGCTGATCCTCCTGTTGTCAGAGTTTACTCAGAGAGAAAGTCCTTCTGAAAACACGTTCATCCCTTTCATCCAGTTTCCTCTGATCCGACTCTGGGAAAACCCACGAGTCATTCTGAGTCTCTTTGAAGTCATTCTGAGTCTCTTTGAAGTTATTCTGAGTCTCTTTGAAGTCATTCTGAGTCTCTTTGAAGTCATTCTGAGTCTCTTTGAAGTCATTTTGAGTCTCTTTGAAGTCATTCTGAGTCTCTTTGAAGTCATGTCGAGTCTCTTTGAAGTCTTTCTGAGTCTCTTTGAAGTTATTCTGAGTCTCTTTGAAGTCATTTTGAGTCTCTTTGAAGTCATTCTGAGTCTCTTTGAAGTCATTTTGAGTCTCTTTGAAGTCATTCTGAGTCTCTTTGAAGTCATGTCGAGTCTCTTTGAAGTCATTCTGAGTCTCTTTGAAGTCATTCTGAGTCTCTTTGTTGTAGATCAGGGGTCGGCAACCTTTTTGATATGAAGTGCCATTTTAATAAATAGTTGTTATCAGCGTGCCAATGATCGAGAACTATCAACGAGGGGGGGT